TGATTTCACGCTTTGTGTGGCTTACTTTGATCCATAGTGACACTGAGTTGTGTGATTGCGCCTTGTTGCTGGCTGTGAGAGACGCATATTAATATTTCACATTATTTTTCGCTCCATATGGTTCTTTTGACATTCAGCTTTCACTGGAAAACGAAAAAACACGCTAATGATTTCAAGAATGTCCTGGACAACTCGTTGAATAAAAAATTAGTACGTTTTTACAAAAACGCAATTAAAAAAGGCCATCTAACGACTTCAATAAAAGTTACATTTTTGGAATCAGGTCACTGTCAGCTTTCGAGTGGTCATTTCGTTTCTTTTGTGGGTGAAATGACTTTCCGACGAACCGTGAGGCAGTAAGTATTTAGCTGTACTGCTGTCCAGCCATTAGTTGCAACGTTTAGTTATCATTTATGATGATTGTGTCTCTCTTTCTTGCAGTGGTTGGTTCGGAAGTGACTAAAAGAAAGGGCAACAAGTCTTCTCAATGGCTAGCGGATCAGAACCGAGAAATGTCGAAGACCAAAGCGCAGATCAAGTGGCTATATCAGTTACAGTAAAGACTCCAAAGGAAAAACAAACATTTACTGTGGCGCCTGACTGTCTCATAGCAGACTTCAAGAAACAAATAGCGGAGGGCTTCAAGGCCGTCTCTGCACAACTCTGCCTTATCTATGCCGGGAAGATTATGAAAGACCATGAGACATTGGCAACTCACAAGGTCAAAGACGGGCAGACTGTGCATCTCGTTATCAAGAACCCCAAGCCTGCGGAAACGCCGGCGACAGCGGGGGATTCGCCTGCGGCCAGTGAGTCAGCGGCCGGCCCACCGCCAGCCACCAGTAGCGCTGCGGGGGGACTAGGTCTCGGCACATTTGGTGGGCTGCCTGGCCTCTCCAATTTGGGCATGGGCTCGGCCAGCTTCCAAGAGCTGCAAAGAAGCATGCAGCAGGAGATGCTTCGTAATCCAGAGATGCTTCAGCAAATGATGGATAATCCTATGGTGCAAAACATGATGAGCAATCCCGACGTTATGCGCCAGTTGATGCAGTCGAATCCGCAAATGCAGCAGCTGATGGAGCGTAACCCGGAGATCACGCATATGCTCAACAATCCGGAGTTGCTGCGGCAGACGATGGAGCTGGCTCGCAATCCAGCCATGATGCAGGAGCTGGTGAGGCAGCAGGACCGAGCCATGTCAAATTTAGAGTCTATCCCCGGTGGTTTCAGCGCACTGCAACGCGTCTATAGAGACATTCAAGAGCCCATGCTAGACGCCGCCCAGGAGATGACAAGCAATCCCTTCAACAACCCGGCATCGACCGATGCTGGTTCTGGCTCAGGAACTGGTTCGACGCCAGCTGGCGCCCCCAGCAGCGAGCCACTGCCGAACCCGTGGGCTCCGCCGACTACATCTGCGCCTTCGGCGGCCCCTCGTCCTGCTGACGGCACGACGACGCCGTCAGCAGGCCTCGGCGCGTCCGGAATGCAAGGACTAATGCGGCAGATGGCAGGGAATCCCCAGGCACTTCAGAACATGCTGAATGCTCCTTACATGCAGCCGATGCTACAGTCTCTGGCGTCCGATCCACAGCTGGCGAGATCGGTTATCGCCAACAACCCGCTGCTCGCCGGAAATGAGCAACTCCAGCGTCAGGTGACCTCCATGCTGCCCACTTTCCTTCAGCAGATGCAGAACCCAGAAATGCAGCAACTATTGACAAATCCAGAGGCACTTCAAGCTATCCAGCAGGTGCAACAGGGTCTGAGCACTCTGCAGCAGACCTCGCCAGGGCTTTTCAGTTCGATGGGTATGGGCACAACACCCCCATCAACCACGACAACCACACAGGCATCTCCGACGTCGCCTGCCTCACAGAATACCCAGGCGCCTCCAGCCGGCAGCGATCAACTCTCCCAATTCATGGCTCGCATGATGGGTCAGGTGGGACTTGGTGGAGCTGGGGCGCCGCCTCCCGAGGAACGTTTCCGATCTCAGTTGCAGCAGCTAGCTGCGATGGGCTTTGTTAACCGTGAAGCCAACGTCCGTGCCCTGGTTGCCACTTTTGGCGATGTGAACGCAGCCGTGGAACGGCTATTGGGCGGAGGCAGCGGAGGGAACGGCGGTGGCGGTGCCCCGCCGTCCCAGTCGAGCTGAAACCACTTTGTCGTCATCCGTCATCGTCTCTCAGACCACTCGGCGGGCCGATGCCGACCAGTGGTGTAATTTTGGACGATGACAAGAGTCGGCGAGGAGCCTTCTACCGAAACGGGATCCACTGTTCAGTTCCGCGGTCGGTAACCAATGTGTGATTATTCGGATTGATTTTAATCGTTTGATTCAGGCGTGATCTAGCGACAGTGTATCGTCGGTGGCATTGGTTATCCATGTGGTATCGGATTTGTGCTTTAGATAGCTCCGATGTACCCTGTCAACGGGCAGGAACAGAATACGGCTTTCCATACTTCTTCTGTAAACATTGTTGAAGCGTTCATAGTAGTAAAGCATGAAGCGCAGGTACCCATTTAACGGACAACTGAGGATCGTTTAAACATATGAGCGACATAAACTGGAAAATAAAAGGATTTGTAGGTGCGACGCAATATCTTTATACCCCAACAGATAGCGGCGATCCTGTATGCTTAACTCTGCCACGTGACATTGCTCACGCTCTTTGAATTTAAATGCTTCTTGGCCATTGAAGTGCGAAACTGATGCATTCGTTAACATTTTCGGTATAGTTGATAATCAAGACAGCTAGAATACATTCATGGCTTATCTTTCGCATTTATTCCTTGTTTGTTTATGAATATCAGTAGGCAGGTAAAGTTATATCTATCTGGTGTGTGTCGTTTATGGTTCTGGTTAGTGTGTTCGGCTTCTTACTGGTGTCAATGTGTTGGTGTTCTGAAATATGGAATGCGAGCATTTACTCACAGGAAATTGATGCAAAGTTTTTGATGAACGGGTGTTATTGATCTGTGGTTGAAATTGCGAGGCTGCATTTTTCCTTTCTTGGCGCGCATTATCTTCTAACTGACACTGGCACTGTATCTTGTCGCCTACGTACGCGCTACAACATGCGCCGATGTGATTGAGACGTAAAGCCACTGGTTGAATGGTGAACCGTGAATATGCCGTGAACTGTTACACTTCAGCGGTCCTCTGAAGTGTGTCTTTACACGCTGGCTCCTGTACGTAAGTTCTTAGTGCCGATGACGGCTGACCGCTAGTGGCCCCATCGGGTCGGCGAGCGGTTCTGAGGGGCACCGGCCACTGACAGTACAGGTTCGCCTTGTATGGACGACGAACGACAGTTCCGTGTCTTTGGTCAATACAAATGGCATACATACAGAGATCTGGTGTTACAATTCTTCATGGGAATGGGATCGTTGGCGGATCCGCCGATCCGGAAACGAAGGTGGGCGGCGCTACATCTGGGGAATGCACAATGTACACAGCACGACTGCTAGTAATTGTTTCCTTTTGGCGATTGCGATAGAGCTTAAAATTTTCTTGAGATGAAGTAACTTGACTTTTGCCTTGTGACCGGCACGTGACATAGGGGATGAAAATTTCCACGTCCCTCGAAATAGTTGCTACAGTTTTGTGAATTTTATGCTTAAAATGATTCGAAAAGAAAGTAAATTAAGTTTACTGAATTATTTTTTTTTTTGAATATTTCGTATAGGAAGAACTACGTTCCGCCTTTGGTTCCTCTGTGTTTGCAGAGGTGAAGCTTATAACGCGTTGACAAATCATATCCCGCCGCCCGCGCCGGGCCGGGAGGGGGTGGGGTTGAGCATTGCCCTCCTGCGGTTTTGGCACACCTGTTCCTGCATCTTTTCCGCACATGTGAGAATTTTAGACATAGGTCATGGTCAGGTCACCACTTCACTTTGAGTGACCTCAACTAAAAAGTTTCAATGTCTGTCTGAGGAACACCGAGTGGCTGATCGCTTAGAAACTTTCGCCGATTGATCAGGCCAGCAGTCTGTACAAAATGTATATCTCGGAAGTTCAATATCGGTGACCTAAGGCCAGGTCAATTTTGCGACCTCCCCATTCTAAGTCAGTGGAGGAAAACTGAAATACGTCTCTTCTGGACGGACGCCATTCTGAACACTTTAAAGCACCTTATAACAAGTCAGCATGACACACTGAACTGGAAAATGGCAACCCGTCACCCCCTTATATCTGAGGTCATCTCAGGTCACAACTGGGGGTCGCCTTTCGCTAATAACTTCTAATGGGCGCATGCTAGAGCGATAAACACCTCAGATGTGTTCAGGTCGACTATACGGATCAACTGTATGCAACATGACCGTTTCCGGCCAGGTCATGACCTTGACCTAAGGTCAACTTTTCAAAATGTCTGTTTAATGTCAATTTATAGTTCATCCGACGCGTCTCTGCGTCTGAGTCGACGAGAGAAACACGACGCTGCCAAAATCAATATCGTTGCTCTCATGAGTCAAAAGTTATGACAAAAACATTTTTCCCGGGTATTTTTAGTTTTTGCCCTCTGGACTACACTTTTCCATTTCCTTTTATGCATAAAAGTTGTCAGGTGAAGTTGCACAATGCGCATGTAGGGTTATGCGTTTAAAATGACGCGGGATAAGGAAAATGCTGCAAAATAGGCAATTCTAGCTCACTGAATTCTAGCTACAGTTAAAAAAGGAACATCTGCACCGGAAATGTCTACCTGGATGAGAGTGCTCTTCAGGGTATTCTGCTGATCTGCTGCTGAAGTTTTCGCCCAATCAAAATTGACAGAGGGGCGGAAGGCTGGGGGAGGAGGGGAGTGACTGGAGGCGTATATATCTTTCCCGAGCGAAAAAAACAAACATTCCAGTTTTTTGGCGCTTTTGTTTCAATTGTGGTGGTTCTGTTCGAAGGCTCATACAGATGGTGTTTGCGCAAAATTTCCAACGGAAAATCACCGACTATTTAGTGTCGACAGCTGCATATTAACTTTTTGAACACGCCTCCATCACTGCTTGTTTATTGGCTGTGTCTGTGGTATTGGGCTGTGTTGCTGTATCAGTATATACCGTGTGTTGGTGGGTGATTGTGATAATATTTTGATGATTAACCTTTTTATTCAGCGGTAGAGACCCACACGTTGACTCCATTATAAATATTGTCTCTTTATCATGAAACAGACTCAGAAACCTTGGCATGAATGCTCTCAGGCTCTCAAGAGAATGTTGAAATTCAGGTCTCAAAAGATTAAAATTACAATAATGAAATGTTTCACCTACCTTCCAAGCCATAAACACTCATACTGGTACTGGATGGAACTTAAAATAAAAAACAGGGGTGGATAATTAGGGGTTTGTAGCACCCCCTGGGATTTTCCACCAATGAAGTACCTATATGCTGCAGAGACCAGGGCCCTGTTTCACAGTTGATAGCAGCATGCTACTATCAAATTGCGCGAGCTGACGTAATGTGATGAGGTCACACTAATGTCGTTTCGTGTAATCCGTGAGCTGTGTTTGGAACAGAGTTGCTGTTTCGTTGAATGCTATGTGTTTGATCGCGCGGCCGTGAAGCTGTTGGCAGCAATATTTGATGACATCACACAGATTGACGGCGTCATGGTTTGCTGATGTTTCCATGGAAGCCCAATTTGACACGTGTGATAGCAGCGTGCTGCTATCACCGGTGAAACAGGGCCGAGAATAGCATGGTCTGTGTTGCACATATTGATGCTGAAGCTATACCTATCAAATGTCTTTCAGATAACCTACCGAGTGTTCACATTCATCATAAATGCAGTCATTCTCCGGTATGTTACATCTGATGTCCTGGGCATCATCAATGTCAGGTATGCACCCTTTACTTTTTTCCTTTCATGCATCAGTGATGCATCCAATGTCTGAGTTCCTAAGTAGAACATATGCTATTTTCTCACCAGAACTGTAGTGTGTACTCCATAAGAAAAATGCTAATTTTTCATATGTTTCTAGTTGAACAGAGTTTGTTCTTATTTTCTAGTTATTGTATAAAATGAAGTAATATACGGTTATCTTCATAAGCATGAACCGAATTACCTGTTCCTTTTGACTGACATTCAGTTCTTTTAAGTGTAGTTTTAAAGTAGGTAAATCAATTCTGTTCAAAGTTCTGAAGCCCTAGTCTGCTTCCCAGGCCGGCTCTACTCTACTCGACTGCCACCTTTGTCAGTGTGGAGGCTTTCCGTCGGGCGGCGCTGGGCGTGACAGAGAGCAGCAAGTGGCGCCAGGCCATCAACTTGGTGTGGCTCAGGTACATCGCTCCGGTCCGGACATCAGTTTAACTCGAAATGGTCACAGCTGTTGGGAGAAGCTGCATATCGGCAGTTCCCAGCAAGAACATCCCAAGTGTCAAATTTTCGAAACTGTGATTTTCATACCATTCGACTCAGCTCGACGAGCTGAGTCGAATGGTATAGAAATCTCAATTTCAAAAATTTGACACTTAGGATGTGCTTGCTGGGAACTGTCGATATAGGTACCTACTTCAAAAACAGGTGTTGTTGTGGAATGTGGACTGTGGAGGCAGTCAATGGGTAGCAGCTAATCGGCACAGTTCTGTTGAGTAGTAGTGGGTTTAAAAGGTCATTGCCTCGATAAATGACGTTTATTTCTTCAGATGTGGGATCGTCATAGGCACATAAGTATGTAATGTTTTATTGCCAGTGAATTGAGTGTATTACAAAAGAGCAGTGTTGTAATTGCCTCTGACTGACGCCCCGCTCCCCTGTTAGCGTGCCCGTGTCAGCGGCGGTGTCGGCGGCGCTGGCCGGCCTCTGGCTGCACGCGCTCAGCCAGCCGGCGCCCGAGGTGACCTCAGAGTACCGTCTGGGCGTGTGGGTCACCGCGGCCATGGTCGTACTGGAGACGGCCGCCCAGCCGCTGGTCATCCTGGCGCAGGCCATGCTCTTTGTCAAATTGAAGGTGAATGACGGCGGTGGGGTGACGCAGAGGAGAGGAACAGGGTGTCAGGGGAAAATATTTGAGGCGCGTCGGTTCCCCGATGACTCTGCTATATCAGTGAAATTATATCCGAAGCTCAAATCGCCTGCTGTGACAGTCGTTTGCGGATCGTCGATCGTTCACACCGCGTTGAAGTACTGTATTCTCCCTACCTTGCTGGCATATGTGGATTATCTCTGACTCTCTTATCGTCTTCTCGCCCCTCCCCATCTCCTCTCACCACTCTCTCACCCACCCGCTCTCCCTCTCTCCCAAGGTGGTAGCCGACATGGTCAGTCTGTGCAGTCGGGTGGCGCTCAAAGCCTGGCTGATCGCCCTGTACCCGTCCCACGCCATCTGGGCCTACTGTGTGGGCCACGCGGTCAGCTCCGCTCTCCTCGTGGTCATCTATTACGGCACCCTGCTCTGGCACGTCCGCTCACCGGATAACTGTCTACCGGTGAAGTCGGCGAGCGAGCTGGGACCCAGACTGGTGCCGGGACAGGTGAGGCCAGTGAACTATTTGTAAAGGGGCGGGGTTTCAAATGAAGTCAAGCGTTTTCGCGGTCATAGTGGTTTCTTTTGGCCAAGTCGTCGCATTCTTCGTTTCATTTAGCTAGAACTTTAGGTCTAAGGCCTCTTAGATTGCAGTCAAACGGTATTAAGACCTACCTGTGTTACAGACAGCTCTCGGCAGCGCTGGATCGAGTATCCTCAGAAATAGAGCCAAAGTTGTGCTGCCACGTTTTCCCAGCAACCGCGTCTGCCTCTAACATTTCCTGTCGCGACGGTGGCGATGTGACCCTTGCTGCCATCTCTCTTCACTGATCAGTAATACCTCTCCTCCCCTCCCCGTCAGCCGGCGCTGGACCGTGACCAGCTGGCCCTCACCTGGAGCTTCTTCAAACAAGGCCTTCTGAAGCAGTTGCTGACGGAGGGCGAGCGCTACCTGATGACCGCCTTCCACCTGCTCGACTTCTCCGAGCAGGGCCTGTACGACGTGGTGGCCAACCTGGGCAGCCTGGCGGCCCGCTTCCTCTTTCAGCCAGTCGAGGAGAACGCCTACGTCTACTTCTCGCGCACAGTGGAACGGGGAAAGGTAGGTGGCAACGTGGCTGATTGTGTGGTAGGAGGTGTTTGATGTTAGTTTTTTGTTTGTTTGTTTTTTTACTGAGGAGTAGTGGCATTTGGTGAAAATATCAGTAACGTTGACCACAGTGTGTCGATGCCCGGTGAGGCGCCGAAAAAGCTGTAAGCACACACTCCTCTGATATTAGCCAATTATACTCGTAGCTACTCTTCATCTCCGCTATAAGTCCTTACTGCCAGTCGTTGTGATCTTCATCTTGGTGTCTTTTTTGTCATTCAGTTTGTTTTGTTGCCCAGCTTCTATCCTTCTGGCCATCTCTCCCCTTCTCGCCAGTCACTGGAAGGGGACAGTTTGGCACCTCTCTTCCAGCCGGTGCCTGACAGCTCCCTCCCCCTCCAGCCGGTGTCTGCGGTGGCGGGCCGGGTGCTACACGACCTACTCCGCGCTATGAGTCTGACCCTACTATTGGTGCCAATCGGAATTTCTTTTCTTGGAATTCCAATTTTTGTCCAATTCCAATTTGGAATTTGGACGGAATTCTTAACATTTTTTGGAAATTAATCGGAACACAAGGCCTTTAAAATTTAAAATTTTAAAACGGAGGCCTTTAAAACGCTTTTAAACACTTTTAAAATTTACGCAAAAAATGCAAAAATCGTTAAAAATTGGAATAGCCCCCGCTTTGGACAAAATTGGAAATTTACTTGGCAATTTCTTGGAATTGGATCGGAATTGGAATGGAAATTTCATGAAATTGGCACCACTAGACCCTACCCCCTCTCCCTGCAGCCGGTGCCTGCCGCGGCGGGCCGGGTTCTGCACGACCTGCTGCGCGCCATGAGCCTGCTCGGTCTGGTTGCCGTCACGTTCGGCTGGAGCTACTCCCACCTGCTGCTGCGGCTGTACGGAGGCGCCCTGCTGACCGCCGGTCCGGCCGTCAGTCTGCTGCGCGCCCAGTGCGCCTACGTGCTCCTACTGGCGGTGAACGGAGTGCTGGAGTGCTACACGTTCGCGGTGATGCGCCAGGAACAGATCAATGGGTAAGTGCCGTGGAGGGTTTATGGAAAGCAGTCGGGAAATGGTCGGTGGCTTAGTAAGCAGTGAGGTAAATTAGTCGGTAGAGGCTGAGCGGATTAGGAAATGACGTTCTCATGTTGGTTTTTGTTGTTGTTAGACTGCCTTTTGCGGCTAAAGGCGAAGTGGAAAGGCTGGCCAGTCGTGTCGATAAAGTGAAGCTAGGAACGTTACTATCGGGCGCTTTGACAGGTGTTGTGGCGTTTTCCGGTGTTTCAGGTATAACCGGAAGATGGTGCTGCTATCTGTGATATTCGTCATCTCGACAGGGATCTTTACTAGGCTATTCGGCGGGGTTGGATTTATCCTCGCCAACTGCGTCAATATGCTGACCAGGATATACGTTTGGTGAGTTTTTGTGTTTTTGAATAGATTTGATTTGTCCTAATTGGTCTAATTATTTACATCATTATCCAATCTGTCATGGATAGTCAATATCACGCTTTATTCGCCGATCTCGATATACTTGGATCTCGTTACTTCACCCGTCCATCGACTGATACGAATGTCTGCTGTCCCCAATAGTGTCCTGTACCCCTCTCAATTCTCATCCCGTCCCCTCCCCGTATGCTGCTGGTTCCCGATACAGTGTCCCGTGCCACTCTCAACCATCATGTCTTCGTCCCATTTTCTGCTGCTGCTGCCCGCTCGCCCCGTCCAGTGTGTTGCTGGCGCTTGATGCAGTGTCCCGTACCTCTCTCACCCTGTCCCCGCCCCTTGTGTCGCCAGTTACCGGTTCGTGGCCGGTCTGCCGCTGGAGCCGGCGGTGTCCGTGCCGCCGCTGCTCGGTCTCCGCCCGCCGCCCGCCGTGGCTGCCGCGCTGGTGACCGCCGGCCTGCTGGCAGCCGGCTCCGAGAGCTGGCTGTACCCCAGCTCCGCCGCCGCCCATGTGGCTGTGGGCGCGCTCTGTGGGGCCGCCGTGGTGGCCGCGGCGGTGTACAGCGAGCCCCGCCTCCTCCAGGCGGTCAGGGAGCGGGTCGGGGATAAACTGAAGCGCAGCTAGGGGGGAGTGCTACTCACATGGTCACGCAGGGAATAGGGGTTGTTTTGTTGTGATATTTATGTGCATTTTGGGTTGAATATACACCGTGCCTGTCAGTAGAGTGGATCTATCAATTTTAAGACTGGTGCGACTGCAGGGGGCGTTGTTTAAATATCCATTTGACTAGGATTTGGCGTTATTTGAAACGCTCAGTTTTTGCAGCGAGCTTTTCCTGTTAGGGCCTGCGAGATACCCGCGGAAACACATATCTCTTCAGCATTGCGCGCCACACAGGAATGCGGCTGATTCACGTGCTTTTGTGAGCGAGGTGCTTCCCTCCGGGAGAAATTCGCCGTCCCCATATGCTTAACACAGAGCCGAGCGGCGGCTGACAGGTGGCCGGCTCTCGGGAGATCGGCAGCCGACACTCGAAAAATCGACAACCCGCCGCTGAATGCGCGTGCGGCAGTGCTGAGCCGAGTCGTTCCCACGGTCTGAGGTACCCCCAGTTTGAAGATTCGGCCTTAGAATATGTAGTTTTAAATACGTAGTTTGACGTACATCTCGGAAAAGTGAGATACGGCCAGAAATGAGTGTGGGTCCCTCCGTTCTGAAGATTCTGATCGACGCCGATTGAAATAATTCGCCGTGCATATCTCGGCTTATTGACGACCGATTGACACGGGATAAACACCGATCGATACCAAATGGCTCTGTGTGTGTGTGGGGGGGGAGGGGGTAGAGTGGCAAGTTTTCCTACCCGACGAACCCGGAATTATCCCGAGGGGGTAGGTGTGGGAGTAGAGTCGGGGGAACGGGGGGGGCGAGTGCAAGTACCAAGTACTTTCGCAAGTACCAAGCAAGTACCAAGTACTTTTACAAGTACCAAGCAAGTACCAAGTACTTATGCAAATACCAAGCAAGTACCAAGTACTTTGGCAAATACCGAGTACTTATGCAAATACCAAGCAAGTACCAAGTACTTTGGCAAGTACCGAGTACTTTGGCAAGTACCAAGCAAGTACCAAGTACTTTTGCAAGTTCAACAAGTTTTTCGTGAATATCTAAGCTTCTAGACGTCCGATTAACACGGGACGAACACCAATCGATCCCAAATTTTCTCCCTCATACTTTGATTGCCAAAGCGACGCGGAGCGAGCCAAGATATCTTGTTTAAATATCCATTTGAGTAGGATTGCGGGTTTTTTGAAGTGCTCAGTTTTTGCAGCGAGCTTTTCCTGTTAGGGCCTGCGAGATACCCGCGGAAACACATATCTCTTCAGCATTGCGCGCCACACAGGAATGCGGCTGATTCACGTGCTTTTGTGAGCGAGGTGCTTCCCTCCGGGAGAAATTCGCCGTCCCCATATGCTTAACACAGAGCCGAGCGGCGGCTGACAGGTGGCCGGCTCTCGGGAGATCGGCAGCCGACACTCGAAAAATCGACAAGCCGCCGCTGAATGCGCGTGCGGCAGTGCTGAGCCGAGTCGTTCCCACGGTCTGAGGTACCCCCAGTTTGAAGATTCGGCTGTAGAATATGTAGTTTTAAATACGTAGTTTGACGTACATCTCGGAAAAGTGAGATACGGCCAGAAATGAGTGTGGGTCCCTCCGTTCTGAAGATTCTGATCGACGCCGATTGAAATAATTCGCCGTGCATATCTCGGCTTATTGACGACCGATTGACACGGGATAAACACCGATCGATACCAAATGGCTCTGTGTGTGTGGGGGGGGGGGGAGTAGAGTGGCAAGTTTTCCTACCCGACGAACCCGGAATTATCCCGAGGGGGTAGGTGTGGGAGTAGAGTCGGGGGAACGGGGGGGCGAGTGCAAGTACCAAGTACTTTCGCAAGTACCAAGCAAGTACCAAGTACCAAGCAAGTACCAAGTACTTTTACGAGTACCAAGCAAGTACCAAGTACTTATGGAAATACCAAGCAAGTACCAAGTACTTTGGCAAATACCGAGTACTTATGCAAATACCAAGCAAGTACCAAGTACTTTGGCAAGTACCGAGTACTTTGGCAAGTACCAAGCAAGTACCAAGTACTTTTGCAAGTTCAAGTTTTTCGCCAATATCGAAGCTTCTAGACGTCCGATCGTCACCGGAAAAACACCATTCGATCCCAAATTTTCTCCTTCATCTTTTTATGGCCAAAGCGACGCGGAGCGAGCCAAGATATCTTGTTTAATTATCCATTTGAGTAGGATTGCGGGTTTTTTGAAGCGCTGAGTTTTTGCAGCGAGCTTTTTCTCTTAGGGCCTGCGAGATACCCGCGGAAACACATATCTCTTCAGCATTGCGCGCCACACAGGAATGCGGCTGATTCACGTGCGATTGTGAGTGAGGTACCCTCAGTTTGAAGATTCGGCTGTAGAATTGTAGTTTTAAATACGTAGTTTGACGTAGATCTCGGAAAAGTGAGATACGGCCAGAAATGAGTGTGGGTACCTCCGTCCTGAAGATTATGATCGGCGCCGATTGAAATAAGTCGCCGTGCATATCTCGGCTTATTGACGACCGATTGACACGGGACAAACACCGATCGATACCAAATGGCTCTGGGGGGGGGGGGGGGGGATAGAGTGGCAAGTTTTTCTACCCGACGAACCCGGAATTATCCCGAGGGTGTAGGGGTGGGAGTAGAGTCGGGGGAACAAGGGGGGGGGCGAGTACAAGTACCAAGCAAGTACCAAGTACTTTCGCAAGTACCAAGTACTTTTACAAGTACCAAGCAAGTACCAAGTACTTATGCAAATACCAAGCAAGTACCAAGTACTTTGGCAAATACCGAGTACTTATGCAAATACCAAGCAAGTACCAAGTACTTTGGCAAGTACCGAGTACTTTGGCAAGTACCAAGTACTTTTGCAAGTTCAGCAAGTTTTTCGCCAATATCGAAGCTTCTAGACGTCCGATCGTCACCGGAAAAACACCATTCGATCCCAAATTTTCTCCCGAATCTTTTTATGGTCAAAGCGACGCGGAGCGAGCCAAGATATCTTGTTTAAATATCCATTTGACTAGGATTGCGGGTTTTTTGAAGCGCTGAGTTTTTGCAGCGAGCTTTTTCTCTTAGGGCCTGCGAGATACCCGCGGAAACACATATCTCTTCAGCATTGCGCGCCACACAGGAATGCGGCTGATTCACGTGCTTTTGTGAGCGAGGTGCTTCCCTCCGGGAGAAATTCGCCGTCCCCATATGCTTAACACGGAGCCGAGCGGCGGCTGACAGGTGGCCGGCTCTCGGGAGATCGGCAGCCGACACTCGAAAAATCGACAAGCCGCCGCTGAATGCGCGTGCGAAGATGAGCGGGGTGCCGCCGTTCCGGAGAGACGGCTGGAAAATTCCACCGGCCGGCCCGGCGGCAGTGTGTTGGGCGGCGGGCGGCGGGGCGGGGTTTCCCCGTCCAGCGGCCGGCAGCGCTGAGCCGAGTCGTTCCCACGGTCTGGCGGCCAGCTGGGTGGGGGCGGGGTGGGGAGTGGGGCGGCCGATTGCCAGCCGCTTCTCCACGGGTAGGTGCTGCCACCTGCGCAGTAGTTCCACTGGCGGCCGCCAGGCCCGTGTGCGGGCCGTGCGCGGTAGTTCCGCCAGCGGCCGCCAGAGGTCACGCGCGTCGTGTCTAACCTGACGAAGCTACAAAAAGTTAGATAACTTTGATAAGAGGGACGGTAAAGCCACAATTCCAACGCTGAATGTTGGGCAAAAGCAAAGGGATCCAACACAGCCATCTGTATTTACTGTATTTACCCTTTTCTGTCAGCGATAAGCCCCAGCAATCGCACCGCTGTAAAACTCGCAAGCTGTTCACCGTGCAGGGTATTGCATTATAACCACCCACCGGCTCTCTCAACGTATGTGTAATCGCTTAATAGGTAGGACGCTAAAACAAGTTAGAAATGATAGGTAGGTGAAACAAAATACAAATTGGGAACAAGTATAATTCAAATTACAAATAATTCATTGGAACAAATCAAAATTATCTGAGACCAAGGCAAATTCGCAAAGTCTTTGATCGACTAAAGCCGTCTGATTTAAACGTCGGAAAGGAACAAGTTCTTTGCGGTATTTAGGCAAGTAAATACCAAGTACTTTGGCAGGTTTTCAGTACATTAGCAAGTTTTCAGTACATTACCAAGTAGCAGGTGATACAGCAAGCTGGCAGGTACTTTGGCAGGTTCAACAAGTTTTTCGTGAATATCTAAGCTTCTAGACGTCCGATTAACACGGGACGAACACCAATCGATCCCAAATTTTCTCCCTCATACTTTGATTGCCAAAGCGACGCGGAGCGAGCCAAGATATCTTGTTTAAATATCCATTTGAGTAGGATTGCGGGTTTTTTGAAGCGCTGAGTTTTTGCAGCGAGCTTTTCCTGTTAGGGCTTGCGAGATACCCGCGGAAACACATATCTCTTCAGCATTGCGCGCCACACAGGAATGCGGCTGATTCACGTGCTTTTGTGAGCGAGGTGCTTCCCTCCGGAAGAAATTCGCCGTCCCCATATGCTTAACACAGAGCCGAGCGGCGGCTGACAGGTGGCCGGCTCTCGGGAGATCGGCAGCCGACACTCGAAAAATCGACAAGCCGCCGCTGAATGCGCGTGCGGCAGTGCTGAGCCGAGTCGTTCCCACGGTCTGAGGTACCCCCAGTTTGAAGATTCGGCTGTAGAATATGTAGTTTTAAATACGTAGTTTGACGTACATCTCGGAAAAGTGAGATACGGCCAGAAATGAGTGTGGGTCCCTCCGTTCTGAAGATTCTGATCGACGCCGATAAAAATAATTCGCCGTGCATATCTCGGCTTATTGACGACCGATTGACACGGGATCAACACCGATCGATACCAAATGGCTCTGTGGGGGGGGGGGGGGGGGGGAGTAGAGTGGCAAGTTTTCCTACCCGACGAACCCGGAATTATCCCGAGGGGGTAGGTGTGGGAGTAGAGTCGGGGGAACGGGGGGGCGAGTGCAAGTACCAAGTACTTTCGCAAGTACCAAGCAAGTACCAAGTACTTTTACAAGTACCAAGCAAGTACCAAGTACTTATGGAAATACCAAGCAAGTACCAAGTACTTTGGCAAATACCGAGTACTTATGCAAATACCAAGCAAG